GCCATATAGCACATATAGCACATTTAGCAAAGAGCTGGGGGAGAGTGGGGGTTCAGCGGGTTGCCTTGTGAGACCCATATAGCACATATAGCACATATAGCAAGGAGCTGGGGAGAGTGGGGGTTCAGCGGGTTGCCTTGTGAGACCCATTTAGCACACATATAGCAAGGAGCCCGGGCAGTGTGGAAGTTCAGCGGGTTGGCGTGCCGCCAGAGACATTGGGCGAACCATTGAAAAACAAAACCCCTCCAGGCGCGTTGGGCGAACCATTGAAAAACGAAACCCCTCCAGGCGCGTTGGGCGAACCATGGAAAAACGAACGTTGGGCGAACTATTGAAAAACGAAACCCCTCCAGGCGTGTTGGGCGGACCATTGAAAAACGAAACCCCTCCAGGCGCGTTGGACGAACCATTGAAAAACGACCCATACTCCGCAGACCCGTTGGGCGAACGATTGAAAAACGAACCCCCCCCCGGGCCCGTTGGGCAGACCAGTACTAAGCCAAACCCGGGCCTGCTGGGCGAGCCATTGAAAAAAAATCTGGACCCACAATCAAGCATAGCAAAAAGGCAACCGGCTGAAGGGTGCAATCAGGGTGCAATTTGGGTGCAATCAAGGTGCAAAAGGGTGCAATCCCAAAAGCGTGCAAAAACACGCAAAAACAAGCCCAGTTGGGCAAGCCAGTATCAAGCGCGGGTTGGGCAAACCAATCAAACCAGCGGGGGCTGGCATGGGCAACCCGTGCAAAACTTAAAGACCTTTGCAAGCGGGCGAGCGCGCCACTCAAACCCTTCGAGCATAATCTTTGCCATGTCGTCCAAGTTGTGGTGGAGTTTCGCCAGGTCCTGCACCGTGATGATCCTGAACGTCTCCGCAGGCACCTTCACGTCGTTGTAGCGACATCATTTGATGTTGGCTGGCAAGTCGGGCGACAGACCAAGGAGATGCTTCAGCGTGTCCACTCCCCCGCCTTATGTTGCTGCTGCTGATCTGAAGCTCGTCCAGGAGCAAAGGCCTCTCGTCGCGCAGGAGGCTGCGCTTGACCGCGATCGCACGTCCGGGCTCGACACCATGACAAACTCGTCCAGACCCACGTCGCGGGCTACCATGGCTGCCAGGCAACTTGCCAGGGAAGTTTTCCCCTTGCCGCTGTCTCCGTGGAAGATCAGCGTCCTTCTCGTTGCGAGCTTGCCGTGATGCTCGTTGGTCCCCACGCCAAGCAGTGATGGACTTGCGGCCTGTTTTGGATTTTGGCCTTGATGGTTGTTGTTTGTTTCAATTTGTTGCTGTGCTGCCGGCTGCACTCTGTTTGCTGCCTGGGTGGAAGGTGCACTTTGTTGGCTTGGCCGTTCGGTGCCGGTCAACTGCGGAAAGGTGGCAGTGCTTCAAGGTGCACCTGCAGGCATGGACGCTCGACTGCATCAGGGCAACTGCCACCCACGGGATTCCCTCCGAGAGCTGTGCAACTGCCTGCCGAAGATGGGCAGCCTTGGACCGTGGCATCTTGGGTCACCATGGGTGACACGTGTCGCAATGGTTCTCTTGCTGCCCCAGTTTCCTACCCAGTGCTGGCGCTCGATGGATGACAGCCTGGAGCAAGTCCACGAGCAGAGGCTGGTTTGCGGCTGAAGCTCTGTCGGCCGCCATAGCTTTGCAACCTCGCTGCCAAGGCCCTTTAGCTGCATGAGAATTCGGCGGAAAATCTGCAAGACCGCGATTTATGGCTGCAATTGTTGTGAAGCGTTCTGGCAATGCACCACTCACCCGAACGGCTGCTGCCAAGCTTCCCAAATAAATTTTGACTGGGCCCATATTTGTGATTATATCGCCATATTTGCACCAGGTCATCCGGCCATTGCCTCCCATCCCATTGCTGCTGCAAACGCGCCCATGTGCTGTTGGCTCGCAATCGTCCTTGTAATAACTTTAAATCTTGCATAGATCACGAATGCCGCAAAACCAAAGGTGGCGCGCAAACCGGAGTGCCTGCGTGGCATTTTCTACCATTGACATTGAATCCTGAAACTAACTGAATGGAAACGGCTCAAACGCAAGATGCATATCCAATGTCATCATCCGTGTTGTTTAGTGATTTAGGATCTTGTAAATGACGATAATTTGCCAGAACACAACTGGACCATTTCACAAACCGTCACAACAGCAGCTGGGCAGCACACCAAAATAAAATCAAGCGCAATCTCTCCTAAGGGGCTCAGCTCAACAAGTGGCATGGCATGTTAACCCAGTTCAGTTTCAACCCACAGTCACAGGTTGTCGTCACGTCCTCGGTGCACTCATTCGCTGCTGTTTGATGAACGACATGCTGCTGAGCAATTTTTGCGCATCATGACATGTCATGCATGAACATACTCCTCCTTGCGTGGGTCTTCGGACTTGGCATTTGTTTTTTGAGATGTGACACTGAAGTTTGAATTGGAGACTTGCTTTGCAGCGTCGCCTTCCAAGCTCCGAAGATCAGAGGGCGGCCTTAGAGCGTCTTCGTGGACATCGAGGCGCTGCGCTTGCAAAGCAGGCGTTCGAATCAGCGTTTGGCGTCCAAAAGCTTGGTTTGAAGCCAGCTTTTCGACCCTGGCGCATCTTCTTTCAATTCTCACGAATTTTCTGCAGAGAACTTGCCAGCGATTCTATTGGCTAGCCGTCGCTCCAGCGCGAGTCCTGACTGCGCGGAGTTCTCTCCATGACGTCTGCTAGGGCAAGAATGTGGAAGCAGTCGTAGAATTCCCGGAAAGTCTGCCACTGCATGCCGTGTCTTGCAGCCGCGTCGCGTCCACGGTGAACACTTTCTGCTCCAACAGAGGCGTAGTCGCAGCTCGCAGGTCCAAGCAACTCCGCGCAGGGCGCAGCGTGGTCACACCGAGAAGTCATAGTGCAATTTGATCTATACGGCGCAAGCTGAGCAAAGACCACGAATCCGAGAGCCTGCCAGCTGGATCTTCCACTTGGACGGCAGCGCAATTGCTGCGATACACGCTGCCATGCCTCTTCGCAAGGAAGGACAGCCGAACTCCACACTGCCGGCTTTTCCGACGCAGCGGCGCGTAGAAGCTTGAAAGGCATGGGCAGCTTGCGCAAGAAGCAGTCTTACACCTGTGCGGTGTCTCTGGTCTGCGCCAACCAAGCTAGCGCAACTTTTTTTTTTCCGCTTGTCCTACCCGTCAGTGCCAGCAACTCCATCACAGTGTCAAAGAACAGAACAATGACCGCTCAACAGGTCCATAGCGGAGTACGTCCCCTCAGCTGCCAAGTCGCAACGTTTAAATACAAAAGTAGTACGCGTGGCGCGCTCCCGCAGCTCCGGCTGAAAAAGTCGCAATTTTCAAGTTCAAAAGTAGTGCGGGGAGTACATTGCGCATGGCCACTTGCTGAGAGCGACGTGCAGACCTGCGCAGAACAATTTGCGCAATGACAATATCCGCAGAAAACGTTCTGCAGCGTGGGAACCTTGTTGTTGGCACGATGTGGTCTCTTCCATGGCAAGTCTTCAAACGGAGTTGTCTTGCTTCACAAAACTTAAAGATGATTACTTTGAACGCTACCGCCATACTCACATTCACGTTGAATAGTTGGAAAAACGGACCGATTCAGGCTGCGTGTCATGGAAAAAATGCTTTCGGGCCAGACTCTCCAGCTAGGTTTTTTTTAGGCGCCGCCTTCCCAGCACTTTCTGCCCCCCAGCTTTAATTATTACTATCCAATGAGCATTTTCTGTTTGCAATCGCGCAAGCTCCTGCTCATTTGTAATGATGGTTTGACAAACAGTGCAAAACATCCATTTCCTGAGGCAGAACGAAAAAGGCACATCATCAGCTTTCTGAGCAAAAACCAAATCATCTGCTTTCTGAGACACTGCGCCATCCATTTTGAGCCTCCACATGGCCGCTCACACTCATACCCGTTGTGAGGAGTAAGGCGTAAACGAATCTAAAGGTGAAGAAGGATGTGGTGACAATTTGTTGACCTTGCTTAAAAGTTCCATTTTGGGATTTGTGGCATGGCGGAAAGCCAGCGTGAGAGGCATGACTGCAGGCTCAATGTTGTTGTTGTTGCACTGGACTGGCTCCACTGGTTGTGTTGCAGAATGGCAGTCAGCTGTGATGTTGACAAAAATCCCGTACCCCCAGTGAACTGCACCTACCCCGAAATAGTACCATTGGTTTTGACCCACCGCCATTGCGACACTTTTTCGTATTTTGTAACCGATGCCTGGCAAGTCCGGCCCCGCAGCTTTTGCAGTACAAACTTGGGACATCGCCCCGATTGTGTGTTAGGCCGGGTGGAAGTCTGCGTCTGCAGTCGGGCCTTGTATCATTGCCACATGTTTTTGAAATATGTTTTCTTGCCGTTGTACCCTGTTGTGGGTTTGCTTCATTTCCCATTTTTGACAAGCAAGTCATTAACTTGTCCTTGACAAACAAATGATTAACTTGTCCTTGCAAGGAGTCGAAGTTTGGCCTTCCATGCGGTGAAGAGCGTGGCATATTGTCCGTGGGCAGCGAGCGTGCTTGCATGTTTGCTTGATGGAATGAACTGACACCCCGACAATTGCACTGTTGAAGGAGTACCGAGTCGCAGCGGCTGGTTGCAACTTCATTCATGTTTCGTACCCCAGATGCACAAAGCTTACTGATTTCGGGTGTAAAGGATAGCCTCTCAAGCGGAATAAACCAGGGTTTGATTCATGGCGTTTGGCCGCCCAGTTGTTGTGGCGTCCCTTGCTCAGGCTGAAAGGCACGCGATGAAGGCGATGAAGGCCTGCGAGTGCGGCAAGAGCTGCGAGCGGCTTGCGGCGTCGGGATTGGCAACCAACTCGGTGGCCCGAGATGTCCGCTTCTCATTTTACGCCTTGGAAGCATGAGTTTGCTGGAAGCATGTGGCTGTGGGTCAAGGCCAATGGGATTCCACCATGCGATTTTAGAACCAATTTTTGTGGGGATCGATTTGGATGCTCACTGGGGGCTAACCGATTTGGATTTGGGCAGCCGTTTTGGTTTGCCAGTTTTTGACCCAAGCTCAAGTGTGCGCCTCGGATCCGAGGCGCCATCGGCCGGGTTCGTGTTGTTGCGAGCTGTGTGTTGTGGGTGGTGTGTGCCTGCCGGAATCCTGAAGGCTCATGGAAGCGACACCTACAAACATCACCCAAACATGACAAACACAAAAGGCCAGAACAACTATCTGAGTTCGTCCCCTCTGTTAATTTTCCTTTCTATCAAACTCAATCGGCACTCTCAGAACAAGCTCCTTGGGAGTGCAGTAGCATTTGGTCCTTGGCCTGCGCGACCGAATGCTGAGCTTAGTCAACTTCCTCTGGGTATAACTTTTATTCAGGGCAATGAAGTTTGAACAGGGACCCCCCCTCCCAAATTTTGGGGTCCTCACCCCCCCAGATGTTTTGTTTCTTTTGTTTCCCTCCCAAAGAACTCTTTGTGCCAGGCATGGCGCTCAAGTTGATCTCGCTGCTGCTGGCGCAAGTGGCCTTGGCACGGCTGGGGCAGAACGCCAGCGTTTTGAACCGATCGAACGCGACCTCGAAGGATGCGAATGTGCCACTGGGTGAGGGCAGCGCGCTGGAAATCATGGTGAACGGCACCAGGAGAGGTGTGAAATGACGGACAGACATTGGGACTGATAGACATGGCCGGGTTTTCTCTGAGCCCGTTTTTTGGCCGGGTTTTCCCAAAGCAACCTGTGAAATCGGCGGAGCATTCCTTCGCAGGCATGGCCTCCGTGGTGAGAAAGCAGCCAGTGACCTCTATGCAAACGACACGGACGCCAGATCAATGGCTGGTCGCGGCTTGGCGTGGTTTTGAGATGGGTTGAGCCAGAGATGCGGCGGATTCTGATTTAGTGCTTGAGATCCCAAGCCGAACAGGGTGAAGTGCCTCGTTTAGAGGTGTTTTTTAGAGGCCTGAAATGGGGACATCAAGGGGTTTGGGGTTTCAGAGACCCCATATTGCGATGGCAATTGGGATGGCCGTGATGCAGGCTATGCTGGCTATCAGACTTTTGCCACCACCACACGGTATGGCGATGCTGATGCAGCCGCATGTGGCGGCATGCACACTGGTAGCTTGGTGGGAGGCGCGGTTCGCCTACTGTTGTGACTGGACGATGATACGGCGTGTGGCACGTGCTTAGCATTGTTTTTGCCCTATTGTCTTTCCCACTATGCCGCATTCGCAAGGTTTGTCCATGGTTGTGCCTCTCTCGAGCCCCCGCCCAGAACCACCCAAACCACCGTGAGTGGAATCTCCATTTAGACACCTTTTCGGGTTCCATTGCGCTTTTCAGAGGAAAGAGACGCTCGGGCCACTCGCACTCCGGGTCAAAATCCCGCAGCAGGGTTGTGGTTGCCCCGGAAGCCTAGCCTTGAAAGGTAATTGTGAGGCTAGTCATTTCTTCATCCTCTTGGAGGACATGTCGTTGCTCGGATGGCCACTATGGTTCCTGTTTTCGCAACCCTTTAGCACTTTGGGGGGAGGCCAACTAAATGCATCAGACCACGAATTGGACAAACATGACATGCCAATGTCATTGCGATCACGGCATTTCCCCTTGCCATTCTATTTGTTGCCACAGCTCAAGTCTGAGAAACATCGCGCCACTGTACATGACAAGGTCTGGAGCCCACCGAAAAACCATCTGCTGATGTTTAGGAGGTATGTTCCCTTTTATTGCGCATGCTTGTGATTTCCAATGAGCTTCGCTTCCCAATACAAGGCGCGGGCACTGTCTATGGGGAATGGGATATAGAATATGCAGTGCCCCTGCCTCCTTTTTGTTTCGGTTGCCACGAGATGTGGCCGTGGCTTAAAAAAAATGGGTGGCTGAACCCCGGTTTGTGGGAAAGACCAGCAATCGGCGGGTTTCTTTGGTTCCTGAAGTTTGAGTCAACCGAGAAAGATCCAAGTCTCAAATTGCAGCCCCTGTTCGGGAGACGAGGTTTGGGCCATGTCGGTTTCTCCCGCCGGTTTGCTTGCAAAGAAGACCAAGTTGATATCTTTGCAATCCAACAGCGGGAAGAATCCCAAACATGCCGCTCGGCCCAATCCCTCCCAGCCTCAAAGCCTATGTATCCCCTTCTTTTCCTTGGCGACTGCTCCCTTCCCTCTCATCGTTTTTCACCCTCTTTTCAGACTGGTGTCAAGTTCACGGGGGTCTTTTTGCCGCCCTTTGTAGACAATTGATCGACCCCCTGGTGGTGAAGGATTCCTTTCTGAGGGGGTCGGCCATTTTCCCACCAAAGGTCGCAAAAAGACCCCCTCACCCCCCCGGTCAAGCTCGGAACCCTAGAGGGTACTTCGGCTTGCTACTGAGCCAGTTCCAAGGGGAGCCTCTTGGCGAGTCGACTGGCAGGTTTGCCGTACTACAGCGTGGCCTCGGCTCAGTCCATGTGGAAGGCTGGGGAAAAACGGTGGAGCCAGATGAGCCACGTCCTCAAAACCTGGGTAGATGAAGGTTGGTAAGGGCCAATCCCAAGCAGAAGTAGCTGCGGATACCCGCCGGGAAATGGTGGTTCCGGCTTAGGGGCCATTGCTTAAAGTGCACCCATGGGAGACCCTGATGAATATTTGGGAGTTACTAATTTGGGGTCAACATCAAACAGGCCCATGGCGGACACCAGTGGGAAAGCGGATCTTCGGTCCACTCTGTGTGATACCAAGGAAAGTCTACTGAGAGTAGTCATAGGGCCCTCCCATCCGACAACCAGCGACCCTGATAGGCACTCGGCCAGACGACCCCCCGCACAAAGCAAGCCGTTCGCTTGCTAAAAGGGAGGAAGGAAGAAGAGGCAAAAGTGCCAAAGAGACTGACAACAATGACAACGGACCACGACAACGATGAACATGGCTTGTGCCACCACTCTTGTGAACACAGCAGGAAAGCACTGGCCTTAAGGGCAGCCAGCTTCTGCTCTCCCCCCCCACTTTAAGGGAGGCGACGTATTTTGTTTGCCACAAACACAAGCGACGACATGAAGCCGGCTCGTATCTCTTTTTTTGGTCTCACTCAAGGGAGAGAGATGCGGTTGACTGCCCCGTGAGCGCAGCAGGAAAGCGCTGTGCTTTACCCTATATTGGGTATCTCCCAGCGGCTTGCCATACTAAACCATGTCCATAAATCAGTTGTTGTGGTCAACAGAAAACACCAAACAACCAACGGTTTCGAAGCACGCTTCTGAAAGCAACTTACCCCCCATCCTAGCTGGACGCTGTCAGAAGGCCACCGATTTCTTGCAAGGCTTCCGTGGCATTGCCTCAGGCAACTTTCCCGCAAGGAACAGGAAGTCTGCCAGCATTTATTTGGTGCGCTTGTTCCTTTGCCACCCGCAAAAAAAGAGAGGGGTTTGCCACCTGTTGCTGGAAGGCTTGCTTTCTTTTTCTGGCCACCCAAGAACGCCTCTGGCGGCGTATGCTCACTTTGCCCCTAATTGGTGGTTTGGTTTGGTGGTTTGCGTGGGGACCACCTAACCACCAATCCGAACCTCCAACTAAGGATGAAGCTATTTTGAAGCATAGAACTTAGTTGTGGGTTTGTATCTTTTAACTTTTATCTCCGAAACCAATTCACCTGAACATGAGGAAAACCACCAAACCACCAAACCAGCAAACCAAAAAAGCAATCCACCAAGATCTCAATCCAAACCACGTAAATCCAAATCACCAAAAAGCTTTTGGTCCTCGTTCCCTTGGGTTCCAACTTTCGAGATCCCGGACTTGGGAAGCCGACGGCCGCGCCTCGCGCCAGGGATGCTGCTGGTGCGGCCACTCCGGTGGCGGCCAGGGCACCCACGGCCTCGGCTGCTTCAGCTGCGCCAAGGGCCGCTTCCTGCGCTCCGCCTACGGCGCGGTCTCGGAGAGAAGCGACAAAAATGGGGGCCCGTGGGCGTGGTGGTGGTGGTGGTGGTAGTGGTGGTGGTGGTGGTGGTGGTGGTGGTTTGTTGTGGTTGAGGATGTTGATGTGGATGTGGTTGTGGGTGTGGCTGGGTCGCTTTTTTGCAGTGCGGCTGCCTTACTTGGACTCTCTTCTGGACATCGCGTGTCAACCAGCGGACCCCGTGCCCACATAGATTTCCGCTCGACTTTTCGGCTTTAGGTGCTTTCAGTTCCTTTATCGTGGTGACAATAGTTGGGGGCTGCAAAAACGGAGCTGCGTGCAGTTGGCCATGTCATGTCCTGAACTGGTTTGTCAAGAGCAGCTCTGTTGCAGTTGCAAGGGTCGTTTCCAAAACTGACTTCTCAAGAGCCTGGGTGTTGCGTGCAGCCGAAAAACCGACAAAGATTTGAGGCATGAAGGCTTCTGGGTGAACAACATATTAAGGACCCCTCCCCCCTGTAGGTTTTCCAAATGCGGTTCCCAGGCAATACGCGGTCTCCAGCATAGCAAAAAATGCTTGACAGACGATGGTTGGGGGCTGGAACCGCAGCTTTGGACAGCAGCGTGCCAATGGGATTCGGGAACGCAAGGAAGTCCCCACTAACTCGGCGCATTTCACATGGGGAACAGACAGTGCTCTCCTTTCCCCCATGCAATCGCGGCTTGGAAAGGTTGCCCCAAAGCAAAAAACACACGATATTACACGGGAACTGCGGGCGGTGTACCCTTGCAGTTGGGCATTTACAAGACATGGACATGGCTCAACCCCTACAGAAGTTTGGATATACTGCTCATCGCAAGCATCTTTTGTCAGGTCGGCGCCTTGCTTCCCAGTCGTTCTCATTGAAATTCAATCAGCACATCTTTGAATGGTAGTCTGAGGAGCCTGAAGAGTCACGGAATTCACATTTCAGCAGGCTGATACGAAAGGGGAAGTTCAGCGAGAGTGAGAATGATGCCGAGCTATTCACAGTATGGCAGCAAGCCAAGAGTGACTGTGGGAGTTTCTTTGAGTCTTTTGGGGTAGGTGGGCCACCCATTGCAGTCTATTTTAGTGGGGATTGGGATGTTCACGGGGTTTTGACCCATGGCCATGTAGGAGTGTATCATGCCGACTGCTATCAAAAGGCCAAGGCCATCTCGAAAGAACTCTCCTGAGAACTGCTCAGTGAACTGCTCAGTTGTGAAACCGCCGGCCCTTCGGTCGATCGCCTGCGCTTCCCCCGAAATGAACTAGGGAATCTAAGGAGGAATTCCAGAACGCATGCTTGAAACAAATAATTCACGTCAACCAGTGCCAGGGTTTTTCAGGGGAGTTCATTCCGCAATACAGAATGCGTCAACCAGGGAATCTTCAGGGGAACTCTTTTTTGGAATCTTGAAGAAGTAGAACTCTGGCAGACTCGTGAACCAGGGAATATTCAGGGGAATTCATTCCGGACATCTTGAAGAAGTAGGAAATCTTGCCGATTTTTCCATGGGAATGATGGGAGGCCTGCGCTCCCCAGACAACGCTCAGCGCCACGGCTTTGCTTCCGGCGAGATCATCATCGTGGCGGCTTCTCCGCAAAGGTTTGCCGCAAAGACCATGGGTGTCCTTTTTTGGTAGGTTTGCTTAAGACATATTTTTGGATGCTTTTTGTTGGTTGGTTTGCTCAAAACATATTTTCGGTTGTCTTTTTTGGTTGGTCGGTTTTTCGGTTTGTCCTCTTTGGTTGGTTTGCTTAAAGGTGTGGATGGGGTTTATGCCCCATTGACCAGGGCCATCCTAGTCTTGCCAAAAGGCCAGCTATGGCAACGTGCAGCGTTTGGTTCGAGGCTTGGTGACTTCCCAGCTGGTTCCTTGGGTTAGTGACACCGAAAGTTGCGCTTTTCTTAAGGATCTGAGGACAGCCCAATCGGGTGCACCCACGAAGAGAGAGTTCTCGCAAAAAAGGAATCGCCACTGACCAAAAGGTTGGTTTTGCTGGTGTACTAGGGTTGGTCCATAGGTGTGCTCATTCCCTAGGAACCGTCAAGAAAAACATGTGAGCGCAATCTGTTTGGTTCTCAGCAGGGAATCAAGGAATATCCTCCAACCTTGAGTGAGTTGAATTGGGTGCAAGAGGCACTTTTGAACCCCCTTGGTGCCGTTGCCGGATTCCGTGTCCAGCTGCAAAAATACAGCTCACGTGAGGCAACAAACATCGGAGATCAGGAATCACATGGCTGTGGTTGTCAAAGCCAATGGGATCCCATTTTGGGGTAGGTGAAGTCACCACCCATTTTAGAACCGATTTTCGTGGTTGGATGGGTTGATGTTCACCGGGGGCTCACCGGCTAACCGATTTGGATCACGTAGGTGGCGGACTTGTGCCCTCACCAGGGCAACGAGCGCTGGTGCCCCGAGCGCCCAGGCCAGCACAACAACTACGGCGAGCCTTGGCCGAATCTTCGGAAACCGAGGCGAGCCATCGAGGGATGAGGTTCCCCTTTTTTTCAAGAAACAAGAAATCCTAGGGCTGGGTGCGTTTTCTTAGGTCTGGCTACCCTGGCTGGTTGGTGGGTTGGTTTGTTGGTTGGGGGGTTGGTGGGTTGAGCCTAGACAATCCCTGCGATACTCGTGCAGATCTCACAGGAAGATGGTGACCCCCACGATTTGTTGCTCGCTTGTGTGGGGGTGGCTCGAAATGGGGATCTCCCGCCCCAAAATTCGGCCGTTTCCCTTTGGATGCAATCTCGAGAAGGGTTGCAAGATGTCGCCACGCATGGCTTCAGCAGCCAAGGCGCACAACCACCTGGACTTCTCCCATCCTCCGCCGGGCATCGACAACAACAACTTTGTCTTCACCCCCATCCAGTGCCCCTACGACTTGCAGGAGAGGTACCATCACCTCTCGAGGTGCCACAACTAAAAAGGTTGTGGAGCTCGCTCTGTTCCCGAGCACGAGGCTCGTGAAGGTTCGTGTGTAACACGAACACCTTGGGGTGCGGCGAGCCCGGAAAATGTGGGCCACCACCCCTTGTCACTTGGTGACACAATACCATTTTGAGCACCAGAGCCTGGCCGCCTGATGCTAAGATTGCAAACTGAACCAGAGGCTGCATGATCCTTTTGCTCAGCCTGTGGTAAGCTTAATTCGGCCATGAGGCTGACTCATACCTCATGTTCAGCGGCCGGACAGTCTTGCACTACTTTCTAGTAGATGAGATCATGCAAGCGTTTGCCGACCTTGCACCAGACTATCAGATGCAGTACATTGATTGGATAGTGTATGATTAGTTTGGTTCGATGGGGGAATTGAGCTTCATACGCTTGCATGATACACCCAATTTTACGATTCTTTAGATGAGATAGCACTCGGGCTTTGCCACTTTGCAGCAATGAATTTCTCTTGTCAGAACATCTGTCCTGAGGAGACTTGAAAACACTCGGCGGCACGGCTTTGCCTGACGTTCTATCGCAAGGCGAGCTTTGAGCACAAGCATGGCTCCACCCTCGCGATGCAGAAGCCTGCACTTCTCGAATTCGTTTTCGGCGAGTCTGATTGAGATGCGCTCGCCTAGCGCCGGGCACTTGCCCCCAGCGTTGACAAAAGTAAGTCTTGAGAGCGGCAGCCAATGTTCTTCTCAGGGATTGACATCTTGCAGGTTCGATAGGCAGGGAATGAGACATGGAATGGCCCCTATAAACCATCCCCTATGGTTTCCCTTTAAGGGAATCCCCCAGAACCGGTTCATTTCCAAAACCCAGCCTCGGTCATTTTATGCTGAGCAAGACATGGGCTCTTCCTGAAGAATTGACGGCTCTCACATCGGTTTTCCACCGGGCACAGAGGGCCTGGAGTGATTCCGCCGGAAAAGGCCTGCGCTCGGAACTCCGAATTTGGGCGCTTGCGAGTTTCTCGGAAAGGACCCTTTCTGTTTGAGGGAGCCCTAAGGGGACCTTCCATTTCCATGGGGCTAATTTATGTGGGCGCAGATTGAGGCAATTTGGTTTCACAAGTGAACCACTAGGCAGTTGATCTGAAGTTTGTCTCCCCTAAGCCCAAGAGCGTGAGACATCTACCTTGCGGAACCCCACTGCGGCTAAATAAATCAGGATGGCAATGGCCCTAAAGTTGTGGTTGTCCTTTTAGGTTCCGTTTTACACCAACCCGAAAAATCCCAAGAAACAAACACCCGCAACACAAGCACCGACTTTAACCAAAGCCCAGTGCGCAGCCACGGCACCAGGCGAGGATGGCGGTCCTGGCAGCGCAGGGGTCCCGGGCGCCCGGAGGATTTTTTTTGTGTTTTCGCGTGAGGGGTTGGAGCAATAGGAAGTGGATGCGGTTTCTGTGGATCGGCTGGATACCAAAGGAGTGTGACATGCATTTCACAAGAACAACTGGTCAAGGATATACCTTCCAGCACGGCCAACACCTGCTTGCTTCATCACGAATCAGGATATACCTTCACGAACGACTGGTGAAACCACCTGCGGGAAGCCGCGGAAAGCAAATGTCCGATCCGTTTGCTGGAGCACCAAATCTCGGATGGAGCCCTCTCAGGAGAAGGCTTGCGATGCCCGCCCAGACAAGGAGGCGGGCGTTTTTTTTTTTTTCCCAGGGGATGAAAAGGGCTCCAGAAAAGCCACGCGCTGCGGCTGGCCAGTTGTGTGTGGGTGGCTTTTGGTGCCAGAAGTGTGCAGTGTGCTCAGACATGGGTGCAGTTGGCACAACATCACTGATCAGCTGCTGGCAGATCTTTCCCTATCCTCCGAAAGGGGTGACTTTTGATAGAATATCTCCAGCACCCCCGCAACAGCTGCTTTCCCCCATGTCCTAAATCCTGCACCAGTGGTTGGGACCCAGGTGCCGGCCGACCCCCGGGTCCCTGGTCTCAGAAAGAAGCTGGTCACCTCTTCTGGGCACTTTGTGGCGCGCTCTGATTGGCAGATCCGCGCGCCAGGAACAGCTTCATCAAGCAGGCAGGTTTCGCTGGAGGGCCGGCGGAGCCGGTGGATTGCAAGGCAAATCGGTGGCGGACCCCCGGCTGCTGTTCCTCCTTCCCCACCCTCCCTCCTTCCCTCCTTCCCTACCTCCTTCCCTCCTTCCCTGCTTCCCTTTGTCTCTCTCTCACACACATTTTTCTGCATCCGCTTGTAGAGAAAAGGGGGAAGTTTAGGCAACACCTTGAAAAGCATGCCACATCTACAATCTCAAGGGTGACTCAAATTTCAATGTTTCTATTGGATAAGACCTTTTGATACAGCGCTCTTTTTGCGTCAAATCGAACATCAACATATATATATATATATGTACCAGTCCCTGGGCCACGTACCCCCCCCCAAAAAATGTAGAAAGGGGGATTGTAGGGCAGGGAATTTCCAAGTCAGGGCTTCAGGGTTCAGGGATGAAATTAAACAAGCAAACCATTTTGTTCAAAACACCAAGGGGGATTGTGGGGAATTTTTCTAAAATTTCTGAACAATTTTTTACAATTTTTTCATTTAAGAACAGTCTAACATTTCATCATTTTCAAGGTTCAGGTTTCAGACCATTTTTAGGCTTTCTGGGGGATACAAGTGTTTAATCATATTATAAGATAATAATATGGTTAAACTAAATCACTTATGCTCTCCATTTTCCTATTCCATCCCACCATTGTTCAATAACTTTGAGTTGGTTTAAGCAATCCTCACCTGTATCATTCATTTCATCCATTGCTATTGATAGAATAGTAAGGTTTGTTGCCATACAAAAGTGTTTTCTATATTTGTTTAATTCTTTTCCTTTCTTAATGATGTATGCTTTATCAAGTAAGTTTTTATACATCCCTTGGACAATGTCTAGTTTCATATTTTCACGAATCTTGTCAATGTTCAATCCGCTTTGTGCTCGTAATCTCTCTAAAACATTATCCCAAAACATATCAAATGATGGTGGTGGTAAAGGGTGATTATTAATAAAGTTAATCAGATTTTGTTCCATTTCCTCTTATTATACTAAGGTCTCATTTCTTTAAGTATATATTTGACTTTAAGGTAGTTTAATCATATTATAAGTTAATATGAATAAACTTAATCTTAATCACTATCATCATTATCTCTATAATTAAACCAGTCTATAATCAACCTTTTCTTTTCTAACAAATGACAAACGAATTTATGATAAAACTCATTATTAAAAATGTGTTTATAAACGACCTTGTCTTTGTTTTCTATATATTGCCATTTCAACATTTTAAGAAAATCTCTACACATTGAAATGCTAAAATCTCTACAAGATACATAACCGTCATTATTATGAAAAAGTAAATTATAATGAAATTGAGTAGCGGTTTTATAATACAAGATTAGCCTATTATCATATCCATACTCTTTTAAGGTTTTATCTAAATCAGTTGTAAATATTGTATGTAATGATTTTTTCGTTGGACATTTATTTAACCTCGTCATATACCAAATCCACTTATCCATTTCTTTTAGATTGTCAGGTTCGTTTTTCATTAAATGTTTTGTAATGGTGCATCTTTTACAACATACAAAACTCAAAATATTATCAATGATACAGTCAGGTAATATATCATTTGCTTTTTTAACTTTGTTGTTGAATATCAAACAACCACGGCATTTTACAATTTCTTTTGTCAATTCTTCTCTGATACACTTATTCATTTTTTTTATCTTACTATATTAAGGTATTTTTTCTTTAAGTAGTTTTTGTTTTTGTAGGGTTGGTATTTTGGTTTTCAGTTTCATCATTTTCACTTTCAGACTCGTCCCCATCCACACCGGTAGGAACAGGGATGTCAGTAGGCGGGGCTATTTCATAATTAGGATTTTCTTCTGAGGATGATGAATTAACAGTATGCGTTGAAGAACTATTAACAGTGATAGGCGGAGAACTATGGACGCTGACAGGGGGTTCAGTGTTTAACTCAACTTCTTCACTAACATTCGTATTTAACCAATTCATTATGGCACTTGCTATATCATAAGACGATACTAATGAATTCATTGTTAAATTAACTAATAACTCTGAACCTTGAATTGTAGTTAATGTAGTGTGATATGTTAAGTGTGCTACTATTTGTCCTATACTAAAACCTGACCTCATCATAAGTTCTATAATCCTCATCAACATAAAAAGTTTCTTTTTGTATTTATCAATGTCATCATCTTTTTTGTCATCATCATCATCATCATCATCATCATATAAATCAGGGTCATATGTAAATGCTAATGCTTCTGCTTCTGCCTTGTTCATCAGTTTGCTCTTAAACTTCTTTGAAGACCCACCTAATAGTTTTGTCTCATCATCAAAATTATAAGTTTGTGTCGCCTTATCATTTGTAAGGTCTGTTTGTGTTGCCTTGTTCTCTTTGTTAAGCGTTTGTGTTGCCTTGTCTGCCATCATAACTTCTGCATTCATATATCTTTCTTTATTTTTATAATTCATTAAATCTATCTCATCAAAATCAAAATTATTCAATAACATATCTTTCTTGTATTTCTTCAATATAACTGTTGTTTTTAGTTTGCTTGTGATTGCTTGTTTAAGCATTTCATCATAAGTAGGGCGTTTCCTTAACTCGTGTTTTAGATTGTTAATCATATTATATAATTATTGATAAATTATATAAATGATTGGTTAATCCTTTGTTGCTTTACCTTTTCCTTTCATACCTCTCCAATCTTCCATTCTTTTTCTTAGCAATTCATCATTTACTTTCGTTGTCCATTTTCCGCTGTTTATAAGTTTCTCCACCAGTCCAACTAAATAAGTTCTACCAGTTTCCTTTTTACCTTTCCCCTTTTTCTTCGTGTTTGAATATTGCTGTTCCTGTTCTTCAGTAAGTCCTGCTCCTCGTAAATGTAATTGAAATAATATGTCTTCTTCCTTTACTGTGCTTCCTCTCCAATGGTTTATATCAGTTGAGTAGTCAATGGTTTCCTTATGTGTTCTTGTTTGTCTTTGTTGGACTGTGGATGAACTGTCAGCGCTGTCCCTTGTTTGTTCTCTTCTTTCTTCATTCCTTGTCATTAGTCCTCTTTGTGCCCCTTGTATCCGTTTAACTGCTTCGTCTTCTGTCATAATTGGTTCTAACGGTGGTAATTCATCATCGCTTGATTTAGCGGTTGCCATTGAATAAACCTCTGATGGAGTATCATATTTTGTTTTTCTCCAATCTGTGGCTACCCGTGCCCTTTCATGTAAATCATCTAAAAATTGTCGTCTAACATCTTCTGAC